ATGACGTGAGATTGTCGGATGGGGAGATGGGTAAATCATCAGCGACAGCCTGGTTAGGAGACTTTTGGTCAGGAGAGGTGTGAGCCTCAGATGCTTCAGTATCGGAATTGTCTTCCATAGAATCAGGAGTCCTGGTGTGGCATCTGGAGTGTCCTCTTGACCAGTTGAAGGTCTAGGTGGAACGACAGGGGTTGGAACGACCGGGATTTGGACGACCTGAGGGTTAGGAGGACGACTGTGGGAAGGATCATCTGCAGGAGGAGGAGACAAAGATGCTGAAGGTCTCGACCTGTAGCGCAATCTTGATCTATGAGCAGAGTGGGATGAATATCGATCCCAGTTGGAACAGCCCGCCAGAGTCAACCATGGCAAGGATGGTGGATAAGCCCCATACAGATACCTCATCTGCCGTCGATCCCAAGACAGAGATGGTGGTGGGGGTAAGAAAACTCGGGGGGATCGACTTCTGGACCGTGGACGACTCAGAGACAAAGCGGCAGCCTGTCTTTGAGAGGAGCCCGTATAATCTCGGTTGTCGATATCGACAGATTGACTGTGCAGACGTGGAGGATGACGCTGCGTGTCGCATGAAGCATATCGGTGCCGACGTGGATCGATGTCGGGAGCTTCCGATACCGTCGACGAAGGAGATGGAGAAGGCTCTGCATCCATTTGATGACTTAGGAGCTCTACCGTTTCGATGTCGGAGTAAGGATGCTCCATTTGGTGGACAGGGGAGTCCAAGACATGGATGGTCAGTATCGGTGGAGGGGCTTGGGCCTCCGGTATCGATACTGTCGTTGGAGCAGGAAGCACTTTAGGGGCATCACCCAGTGCAGACGCCGCTACCTTCCCCTTCTTTGCCGCCTTAAGGGACTTCGAGGAGCACTTCTTTGCGGACTTGTGCTCCTTACTTGGTTTGGCCTTCCTTTTCACCGGCGTGGAAGCGGAGGATTGCACCTTCGATGCCAGAGGCTTCGGCGTCAGTTGGCTGATATCGGAGGCAGGCCTCGATGCCGGAGTCATTGAGGTCGATGATTTCTCGGCGTCCATCGCTGAGGAAGGATGTAGGGCCGATTTAAGCCGTGCCACTTTAAGGCGTGCAGCTTGGTTTTTTCTGGTCTGGTTCGAAAACCAAGCACAGTGGCAACAGGATTCGGGTCGATGAGACTCTCCGAGACAATAAATGCAGAGGGTATGACGGTCAGGAGGAGCAAGTTTACTATCGCAACCCTTGTACCTATTAAAAAAGCCCCACTTCTTCTCCATAAAAATAAAAGTGAAGAAGAGGGGGGGGGGTAGCCCGAAGGCCCGACTGAGGTAAAGTGGCAACCTCCCCCTCAGTAGAAAATAAAGTTGGGTTTTTTTTAAGTTTTTGAAAGAACGAAGGAAGGAATGAACTGAGGAAAAAATCCAAGGAGCTGTGAGGCAAAAAGCCAAAACACGCGAACCGATCAGACCGACGAAGAAAGAGGTCTTTCCAACGCGGCGGTAAGAAAGGAACTGGCGGTGGGGTCCCTGCGCATGCCCGAGGGACTGGGCGAAAAAATCCGTTAAAGAGCTTGCTACAATGCCGATCGATCCAGCACGCACGTACTGGATCCCATGGGTGTGAAGCACAGTGACCATGTCGAAGATCTTGCTTTTTTGTTTTAAATGAACGCAGAGGTGCTCGGGAAGGTGAATTCAGCACACTTACGGTGTTGTTTCTCTATTATGACACACACAAATCCCATATACGGGCTTTCACCCTTAATGCCAACCATGCCCACTAAAGGGAGAAAAAGCTGAAGTGGCTGAAAGTGTGGAACCAAAAGCAGTATGAAGAGGACGTGCAGTCCCAGGCTTCAAGCAGGAAGATGGGACCGGGAAGTCAGACGGGCCGAGTTGCGTCTCTGGCTCTGCTTAATGCACACTTCTGTGTTTCTCCGTCAATTTCTGCGCTCACAACAGAAAGGGAAATGCAAAGGTGGCCATCCTTAATGGACATCTGCAGCTCTCCGCAGTCCCTGCCAGGCGGCTGCTGCGAAACAAATTACTATTTAACAGTGCCAGCTGGATAACAGAGCAGAAGGATGTGGGTGTGGGCCCCATGCACGAACAGAGGGAGTTTGCGGGGGATCGCCCCCCCCAGCATTCCACAACTAGTACAAGCTGACGGTTAAACACTTGAGCACTAGCAACCTGCATGCTTGGATGTGCAGTGACAAAAAGGCTAATGTGATCTTGGGGTTATCAACAGAGGCGTCACACCCAAATCGCAAGATGTCATCGCCCCTCTGTACACTGCGTTGGTCAGGCTGCACCTGGAGCGCACAGTTCTGGAGGCCTCACTTCAGAAAGGTTGTCGACAGAATGGAGCAGGCGCAGAGGAGAGCGGCGAGGATGATGGGGGGCCTGGAAACCAAGACGCCTTACGAGGAGAGGCTGAGGGACTTGGGGATGTTCAGTCTGGAGAAGAGGAGGTTGAGGGGGGACATGGTGGCTCTCTTGAAGGATTTGACAGGCTGTCCCTTAGAGGAGGGCAGGGAGCTGTTCCTGTTGGCTGCAGAGGAGAGGACTCACAAGAATGGGTTTAAAATAAGGGCGGGAAGGTACCGGCTGGATATTAGGAAGAACTTTTTTATAGTAAGAGTTGTGCAGCAGTGGAATCAGCTGCCTCTGGAGGTGGTGAGCTCCCCCTCACTGGCAGTCTTCAAGCAGCAGCTGGACCAACACTTGCCAGGGATGCCAGTTTGGTGTCGTGGTTAAGAGCGTGGACTCTAATCTGGGAGAACCAGATTATTCCCCACTCCTCCACATGCAGCTGCTGGTGTGACCTAGGGTCAGTCACAAGTTCTCTCAAGGCCGGTTCTCAATCAGAGCCGTACCTCACAGGGTGTCTGTTGTAGAGAGGGAAGGGAAAGGAGATTGTAAGCCGCTCTGGGGCTCAGGTAGTGAAGGGCAGGGTATAAATCCAATCCCCTGACCAATCCAATCCTCCTCCTCCTGCTGTTGCATTGACCAGGGGGTTGGATTAGATGGCCTGTATGGCCCCTTCCAACTCTGTGAGTCTACGATTCTGTTCCATGAAGCCAGCATGGGACACTGAGACACAAGAAGAGCTCGTTCTGCCTAGCATGCGCATGACCACCGACTAGGTGCGCAGTCATTGCCGATTGCCAGGGGTCATTTCGTAGAAAAAGAGGTGCAGGAGCTCATTAACATAACTTATTTGCATATGCCACACCCCGATTTAACCAAAAGTGTCAGAAGGCAACACCCACTGCACCTTACCTGGCTGCTTCTTGCTCCTCATGGCCCGGGGCTGCTGGGAGCAGGGGGTGGGGCTTGTTGCATGTGCCCGCCCCCTGGACTCTTTACTGCCGGAGCTCCGCTCCTGTGCACTCCTGCAGGAAATGACCCCTGCTGATTACAGACGAGCAGGCATTCCACCACTCCTCACACTATACGGATTTGGGAACCCGTCCCAGCCTTTCTCTATCTAGGTGGCGTGTTTTCAAAGCAGAGTGATGGTCCGGGGTGCCCATGGGGGGGAGCAGCACAGTGCGATGGACAGCGATGTACTACAGGGGCTCAGCAGTATGGGGGGAGGAAGGGCCAGTGTCGCCAGCAGCCAGCTGCATGCCAGTATGTCAGTGGCTTGACTCAGATGGTGTCCCAGGCCAAGGATGGACGTAACTTTCTTGGAGGACTATTCATAATGCAACCCCCCACACACACACCTTCTCAACGTGGAATGAACTGGTGCCAGTGAAGGAAAGTGCTGTCAGTTTTGGTGAAGTGGTTAGGAGAGCCAGTTTGGTATAGTGGGAGAACCGGGTTTGGTTCCCCACTCCTCCACCTGCAGCTGCTGGCGTGACCTTGGATCAGTGACAAGTTCTCTCAGAGCTGTTCCCCAAGGGCAGTCCTCGAGAGAGCTCTCTCTCAGCCCCGCCGACCACACAGGCAAGACCAGATTCTTTCTTTATGCTTCCACCACCAGTGTACCCTCTAAGCTGAGTTAGTGTGAGCCAGCTCACAGTTTTTTAGCCTCCAGCTCACACATTTTTGTCTTAACTCAGGAAGGAGGGCTCCAGAGCAAACTAAGTTATGCAGTAGCCAAATTGCTTGCTCACAACTTTAATGCCAGTAGCTCACAAAGTAGAATTTTTGCTCGCAACACCCCACAGCTTAGAGGGAACATTGTCCAACCCCCCCTTATTTTTATTCAACGCCCCCCCCAATTGCACCCAAGTCTCCTACCACCCACCTGGATCGTTCCAGCGCCCCCCCGGGGGCAGGGGCGGTATTGCCCACTTTGGGAACCAGTGCTCTACAGTGACGCCTGAATATCTTCCGCAATCACAGCTGAACTCCAGACAACCAAGATCAGTTCCCGGGGAGAAAATGGCTGCTTTGAAGGGTGGACCTCTTTGGCATTATAGCCTGCAGAAGTCCCTCCCCAACCCCTCCCTCCCCAGGCTCCCCCCTCCAAGGAAAAAGGTAAAGGTCTCCCTTGCTCGAAAGCCAGTCGAGTCCGACTCTAGGGTCGCGGTGCTCATCTCCGTTTCAAAGCCGAAGAGCCAGCGCTGTCCGAAGACGTTTCCATGGTCATGTGGCCGGCATGACTAAACACCAAGGCGCACGGAACGCTGTCACCTTCCCACCGAAGTGGTACCTATCTACTTGCAATTTCTTGCTTTCGGACTGCTAGGTTGGCAGGAGCTGGAACTAGAGACGGGAGCTCACTCCCTCATGCGGCACACTCGGGTCTCGAACTGCTGAACTACCGACCTTCCACAGCCTGCAGTTCAGCGTCTTAACCACTTGAGCCACCCTCCAAACCACCAGGTATTTCCCAACCCAGAGCTGGCAACCCTAACAAGGAAGACTAGCTGCTAAGGGGCTACCCCCTTCAAATACATCACACTCTTGCAAGAACACTTGAGAGCTTGAACCGGTCGAGTTTTGCTTGTGTCTCTGCGGCTGAAGACAAAGAGACGGTTTTTGAAAAAAAAAATTTATTTGTATGCCATCTGAACATCAGATATACCTGGTGTGTGTTAGCGTGAACCGTTTGTACATTTGAAATTCATGGTGCCAAAACCCTCCCCAAGACCAAAAAAAAAAAATTACCTCCCCAGAACATCTGACTGGCTGAGACAAAGACGGAGTTAAAGAAAAAGGGAGAGAAGCGGTGAAAGGAAGGGGGGGGGGGTCAGCCGGTGGAGCGATTGCATGCAAAACGAAAAAAATATTTCTTGGTATGGGAGAGTAATTCGACAGAAATGATGGTAGAGAAGCACGGAGGAAGAGGAATGGAAGAGGAGAGAGCAGCGGCACGGCCAAAGGCTACGCGACCGTGATGTCAGTGACACATCCAAGATAATTTCAGCATACGACGACGCCCCCCACCCAAGCAGCCCCCAGAATTCCTTGCACTGATCGGGAGCGGGTGAACTAACCTTCTTGCCCACCACGGAGATGCTGCCAAGAATCAGTGCCTCGACGGGGAGTTCCCAACTCCCCTCCCCTGCCAGTCAGCCGCTCGAGGGTCATGGTGGTGGGCCAGGATCCCTCTCTGCCCCGCTCCCAGGGCGTCCCCACAAGCCTCGGCTCCTGCCTCTTCCAGGCACTCTCTTGTCTTTAGGTTGGCAACTGGGGGGGGGGCCCACGGAGGACCAGGGCCCCCCCCCGCGGAGGACCAGGGGGCAGGGGGGAGAACGACACTCTGGGGGTAACAACACTTTTGGCAACATCTCTGCGGTGGGCGTCATGAGTGGCCTGGTCCTCAGCCCAGGAAGGGTCCGCCTTCTCCTGGCGGACGCTCAGGGGGTGGCGCAAAGTAGAGAAGCTCCTGGGCAGGCCAGGGACAGCCAGCCTGGAAATCCCAAGACACCTCCCACTCCCCCCTCCTTAAACGAAAGCCGACCCTTTTTGGAAACACGAGCTCTCCGTTACTCTTCCAACTGCACATCTTGTGAAACATGAAGGCAAGTATATCCCTTGCCTTTGGGGCGGGGGTGGTGGGTGGGGAGAAATATCATGCAGCGCAGAGCCGGGGAACGAGGGTTACTGATGAGACCGTGGTGGTCCCTGACCTTTCGACCAGTCCCAGGGACAAAATGCATTCAAGCATACCCCGGGGCGCTTAAAGGCATCCGAGAACGCGGCAGAGCATTTAAGACCCAGGGAGCCCCCCCCCCCCTTTAGTAGCTCTTCCTGCAGCGTCGCTGGCGGAGGACAGCAAGCGGATAAGCACCCTGGCTGCCGAACGTCCCGCATGTTAACTCGGCCCCCGCTTTCTAGCCGACGGCTCCACGAGTGACAAAATTCCCTCAAGGAAAGCTCTCATCTGAAGGGAGTTTGGGCAGAAGCAACAGGGGCTTTTCCCTGACACGCGAGAGGCTGTGACCGGCCACAGCTTCCGCGTGCAGGAACGCGGGCATACAACAGTAGTATGTTATCCAGTACGCAAGTGAAGTGCCTTCTGTGTAGGAACTCCGTTCCCATGTGGAGCATTCCTTTGGTGGCTGAGTTCCTACCACTGACATACAATTACAACCCACCCACCGCCCCCGGCCACCCTCAAGAAAAGGGGAAGCGCTTGGTTTTTATGTAAGGGTCGCGTAGGCCTCTCCTTTTATTCAGGATACTGCCACGGCCTCCTCCCCTCGCCCCACTCCCACACAGAAAAAAATAATAATCTTTTTTTTCTTCTTTTTTAAAACATTATTTCCCCATCCCGGTACAAATTTCAGCAGGTGAAAGGTTACATGGAAACTGGAACACACAATCGTATAGACAGGATGGATCGGATGAGGAAGTCTTAAAACTTTCCAAGTGAAAAAGTAGAGCGGGAGGGGGGGAGGAAAAAACCACCAGTCTTCGAGCCTTTTGTCCCCTCCCCCCAAAAAAAGGTTTCACGCACCCACTCTCCAAAGCAACAGGCAACAGTTCCCAACTCTGCAAGAAAGACACACAAAAAAAAGAGAGATGGTGCCACATCACTTAAACTGAACGGCCCTCCGAGAAGGGGCACCAAGAAATCTGCCAACGCCCTCCGGGTGGGCTGCGGGAGCCCCTCACCTATGTTAGCTTCTTGGCTTTGTTGTATAACGAATCCACTACTTTGCTCATATTCTGAATGGTCTCCAGAGCAGCTTCGTACGTTTTGTCTACAGGTGGTTCATCGAAAATAATCAAGACGCCTTCGCCTTGGTCAAGGATCCCTAACGAAAAAGAGAAAAAGGCCTCAACTTAAGCATCCCTGAGGTGTTCTGCTTTTCCACAGACGCCTGTATCTGCTGCCACCAAAATCAGCAAGGCCCATTTCCAAGATGGCAGCACAACCGTTAGAGAAGGGAACCCTGGGAGCCATCGGGACGGCTCCTTCACTGATACTTCACCTTTCTCTCCACTGCCAAAGCGGCCCACGTCGTCCGTTCTCCCCTCCTCCATTCTAGTCTCACAACAACCCTGCAAGGTAGGCTAGGCTGAGAGTGACAGGCCCAAGGTCCCCCAGCGAGCTTCCATGGCAGAGTGGGGATTCAACCCTGGCTCTCCCAGACCCCAGTCTGACACTCTAGCCCCTCCATGACGCTGGCTCACAGCAACACCCCCCCCCCCCCAAGATGTGCAAGGCTCAACTCAGTCTCTGTTTGGCCACAGTGCGCCTAACCCATTCACAAATGCACATTGTGATCGAGCGCCTGGGGATCCGAGGGAGCCCAACCGGTCACTCCAGTGCTGAGCCATGGCTGAAAAGTGAACAGGAGCCAAAAGAGGAGCCTCACCGTGGAACTTCTTGTCCAGGATCATCTGTGAGAGTTTCCTTTCCACATCCGCCTGAAATGGAACCAGAAGACGGGTCAGCCTCTTCGAGCTACCGGTGGGGGGCCAGCAGATTTTGCCAACCAGAAATGCCGCGGCTCAGGTGGCAACCATCACGGCATCTACATGTGATGCCACACACACACACGTGTTAGCGGAAACCAAGGTGCTGCCCTCCTCCCACGAATAAAGGAACTCCAGCCATGAATTTGTTCCGGAGGATGAATCGTTTTCTACTACACAGTGCAGATCAAGACATTCCAGTGCAGGACAACGCCTAAGGCTTTAGCTGCCCTGCAGAAAATATTTGTGCATATCACCGCTGGAATTCAGCAAAACCTTCAATGTCGTTTGCATTTCACTTTCTCAGCCTTGAGAACAGAAGATATTTCTCTTTAAGAGCACCAAGAAAGATCAGCTCCTTAAAGCAGCTTGTTTTTGTTTTTTCCCCCCAGAGTGGATTATTTTCTTCACAGCGGCCCCAATGGGAACGACCAAGACGGTTCACAAGAATGCCACCTCGCCGAGACTATTTGCACCCCAGGCTCTTACCTTTGACAACTTGATAAGGCCAGATATGTGTTCAATCTGAAAAAGAAGAAAACATTCAGACAGGAAGGAAAACACATTTTTTTAAAAAAGGTTGTTTTCACAGTGAAGCTAGCCCGGCAAGGGTGCTCAAAGCACACAGAAAGGGTGGGCAGACCCTGCAGATTGTACATCTGCATCTGTGACAGTGGCTAATTCTGTCTAATGAGAACTTTTAGACCACAATGTACATTTCTCCCCTTATCCTACTGGTTAGTCCTAGTTTGGTGAGATTTGACAAGATGTGTTTGCTCCCTAATGCAACACTGTGTATCTTGGAGAGGCCAGCCCAAGCCAGTAACTTGAGATAATCCATTCTGCACCCTGGGGATCCTCCTACAACCTCTGCTCAACAATGTCCCTGCAGAATTTGGGCACGTATATAGGAAACACAAGAACAACACGGCAGCCACCATCCAAATCACTTGACTGACGCATCAGTCCATTCTTCTTCTCTTACAACCCTCCCATCCATCTTCCTACCCTGAAGTTTCATCCATCGCTTCAGCCTCTAACCAACTGCATGGAAAACACACTGCTGGAACAGAGAAACACCAAGGGGAGATCCACACAGCTTTTAATAGAGAAGTCACTCTTCTGTCAATATCGCTGAACAGACTTACATATGTGTCAAGGCAGCTTGGAGCAATGACAGTAACTGGTCACAAAGCAGCCATTGCTACCCGCGACCGGCATTATTCCAAGTGCATTCAATCCTCAATCCCCACAGCTTTGCCAGGAGAGGAGATTGTTGGCTTTCAGTATTTAACTGGGAAATCAGAGCGGGTGACCTTCCATGCCTCCTGGAGGCGGAAAGATGGATCTGGATGCTCCAGAAGTCCTCCTCACCTGCACTCTGGAGAATGGCTCGATGACCCGGATCAGGTTCTGTTCCAATAAGTTATCATAGAGTTTGCCCAAATGTGTATTGATGATGGGGTCGTCCCTGAGTTCCACTTTATAATCTTTCAGAGCCTGAGGAAGATAAGAGTGTCGGGTTCGATCAGCAACACAAGCAGGGGACCAGCCTGCAAACCCTCCCAGCCAACACAGTGAAGCATTCTCCTGGTCACCCTCCTTCCCCCAAAAGACTGAGCCATGCCTATAGCCAGACCCGCAGCCATGGGGGGGGGCATTTGGGGGCAATGCCCCCCTCACACAGATGAGCACCGCCCCCTTAGACAAAAAAATTTCAAAGGTAATGAACGTTTTTAAAAAAATATTCAAAAAAATGTAAGGTGTGGGTGTTTTTTTTTGGGGGGGGGGGGTCCCAAAATGACCCCAGGCATAGTCAGGGAAGCTTCAGAATAATTTTCTTTTTTTCCAGGCCAAAACATAAACTGGATTTTAAAAATGCAAATAAAATAAAATTGCAAAATTCAAAAGAGAGAGAGTTCGAGACACACACACACACACACACGGCTTACACAGAAAAGCAGCCCGGAATAGAGTCTCTCCAATCAAATGGGCTAGAGGAGGACTAGAGGTTGCGGTGAAGCTGGAGCTGCTTCTTTTGCTGATGGAGGAGGAGGAGGAGGTGGTGTGGGTGTGGCACACCCCCCCTGGGATTTCCCCACGCCCCACCAACCAAAGTTTTCTGGCTACGCCCCTGCCTATAGTGCATGCTGCATTTTACAACATCTGAAGTTCTATTCCAAGAGAAGAAGAGGTGGTGGAGCTAGAGATGTGAAGGCCCGGAAAAAAACCAGAAAAATTCGGGTATTTTCCAAATCATTTCTAAAATATATATATATATATATATATGGTATCAGATTGATCTAATTTCTATGCGCTGAGGACAAGCAAGTCCTAGGTTACAAACTGAACCCTCCAATGCAAGAACAAGATGCATTTCTTCCTTTAGGAGGTGCGATTGTCAGAAGAAAATAAAAAAGTTTCAGTTTTGTTTTTGCCTTTGGGTGGATATTCTGTTTGAAATAATTATTTGGATACACTATATTTTTAATATGCTAGTTGTGATAATTTCATGCCAAGTAATAATGTCCATAGTCATATTTTATGTTCCTAAAGTAACAGAATGACTTTCAATCTAGAAAAGACAAAAGAAATGCTAATGTAGCATTTTTTCAATGTTTCCGAAAATTTCCATTTCCCCCCGAAAAAAACGGTTTTTTTTTTCTGAGCTTCAAAATTTCCAGAAATTTTACATCTCTAGGTGGAGCGTTCACATCCTGCATGCCATTTAGTCTCCACGTGCCATTCATAAGCAAGGGTGGAACACGATGTAGAACTCCAGACACGGGAAATGCTGTTCAGACTCTGAGGTTTCATGAGACAGTGCCCACACTTTCAAATACAGCTTTCCACCCTGAGAATATCAGGACTAAAATCTTCATTAAAAAAAGGACGAGTTCCCATTTCCCTAGCTAGTTTCCTTCCAACTGGTGCAGCACGAGTGCAGAAGCTAGCCCCGTCCATTATTATACACCTCCCATTGGCGTAATCCTTGGTGGTCTCCAATCCAACCCTGCCAAGCTCCTGAGACCGGGCTGGCCTGGGATATCCAGATCAGGGCAAAGCCCCATACCTAGTAATAGATCTGTCCATATGATGCTGCAAGAGAATACGCTGCATCAAGTCTCAGGGCTTTTGTGGTGTTGTGGGAAGCTGAAATTTTGTTTAACAAAGAACAAAGTTCTAGGCCTCGTGATCAGCGTGAAATTCATGGGAGATGCACGGTGCCTCCAGTGATGCAGAATGAGGGAATCCAAACCATCGCTTCCCTGTTCCCTCTTTCCCCAGCAGGTCCTCCCACCCAGTCCGGAATCAAATGGGCTAAGCAGGCTTGAGCCCTGACCTGGGTGGGCCAGGCTGGCCCCATCTCGCCAGATCTCGGCAGCTAAGCAGGGCCAGCCCTGCCTAGTATTTGGATGGGAGACCTCCAAGGAAGACCGGGGTTGCTGTGCAGAGGCGGGCAATGGCAAACAACCTCTGAAAGGGGTCACCATAAGTTGCCTGTGACTTGATGGCACACTAAGCAGGCTTGAGCAAGTTTAGATACCTATAGATATTCTACCCAAAGCACAGCAGTTCTCCCTGGGCTGGGTGAGTGGGAGGAGAAGGAAGAGTACAGGGCTTCAGTGCCAACAAGGGGAGTTGCGGCCTCATAAGAACGTAAAAAGGGGTCGTGTTGGATCAGGCCAATGGCCCATCCAGTCCAACACTCTGTGTCACACAGTAGCCAGAAATACCAGGTGCCATCAGGAGGTCCAGCAGTGGGGCCAGGACACCAGAAGCCCTCCCACTGTTGCCCCCCCCAAGCACCAAGAATACAGAGCATCCCTTGCCCCAGACCAAGAGTTCCTATAGGAAACATAAGAGAAGCCAATGCTGGATCAGGCCAATGGCCCATCCAGTCCAACACTCTGTGTCACACAGTAGCCAGAAATACCAGGTGCCATCAGGAGGTCCAGCAGTGGGGCCAGGACACCAGAAGCCCTCCCACTGTTGCCCCCCCCCCCAAGCACCAAGAGGACAGAACATCCTTGCCCCAGACTGAGAGTTCCTATCTATACCTTGTGGCTAAGAGCCACTGATAGACTTCTCCTCCATATAAGAACATAAGAGAAGCCAATGTTGGATCAGGCCAATGGCCTATCCAGTCCGACACTCTGTGTCACACAGTGGTCAAGAATCCCAGGTGCCATCAGGAGGTCCAGCAGTGGGGCCAGAACACTAGAAGCCCTTCCACTGTTGCCCCTCCCAAGCACCAAGAAGACAGAGCATCACTTGCCCCAGACTGAGAGTTCCTATAAGAACATAAGAGAAGCCAATGTTGGATCAGGCCAATGGCCAATCCAGTCCAACACTCTGTCACACAGTGGCCAAAAATACCAGGTGCCATCAGGAGGTCCAGGAGTGGGGACAGGACACTAGAAGCCCTCCCACTGTTGCCCCCCCCCCAAGCACCAAGAAGACAAGAGCATCCCTTGCCCCAGACTGAGAGTTCCTATAAGAACATAAGAGAAGCCAATGTTGGATCAGGCCAGTGGCCCATCCAGTCCAACACTCTGTAACACAGTGTCCAGAAATACCAGGTGCCATCAGGAGGTCCAGCAGTGGGGCCGGGACACTAGAAGCACTCCCACTGTTGTCCCCCCCCCCCAAGCACCGAGAGTACAGAGCATCATCTGCCCCAGACCAAGAGTTCCTATCTATACCGTGTGGCTAATAGCCACTGATGGACCTCTGCTCCCTATGTTTATCCAGTTCCCTCTTGACGCTGTCCATGCTTGTAGCCGCCACCTCCTCCTGCGGCAGAATTTGAATTAGGATTTTTGGCTCCAATGTGCATCACTCACAACTGATATTCTTCTAGGCTTTGCTTTCTAGAAGTGCACTGTGAGCTTGCAGTGGTCTATAAAATGGACCACCCTCAGAATATTTCCATTGCTACAGATTCCATAGGTCACAAATGCCCAGTATTCTCCACCAACGTTCCCTCTAATTTCCCCCCCCTACTGCACGGAGCAGTTTACATCCTGAGCAGAACACACACAACTGCTGTAATCATCCAATGGGCACTGGCAGTGCAAGACCCTCGGCGGCTCCAGACTGCCACCGAACGGGGCTTCCTGTGTTAATGAGCGGCCGCTCACGTGCACATCTTAGGGGGGACACTGGTCTCCACACTTCCAGTGTCCAAAAGACAGGGCTAGATTTTATCCCATGCCAGAAAAATCCACTCAGTTCCCCACCTGCCAGCTCACCTTTTTTAAGTCCTCCAGTGATCGATTCTTACTGGCCTGTGCCACACACTTTAGTGCTTCTGTCTGCAAAGGAAAGGAAAGACAGCGCTGGTATTATGCTGGGCCACGGCAGAGGCATGCTGTAGCTGTGCCATTCACACTAGGGGGGGGGGGGGGGGGGGGGGAGAACCTTCCAGGAACCCAAAAGGAAATCTAGGAAAGAACTTTGACAATATGCAAACCTTGTTTTAATTCTACTGCCGTTTATTCAAGGACGGCTGACAAATCACAGAAGCAAGCACACAAAACGAGCGATCCAGACAACAGAACTTCAACTAAGACAGCAGAGAACGGTCAGACTGCAGTTGTGGAGACACTGGGGTTGTCTGAACATTCCCTGTAGCAAAGGCCCGCCTGCAAGGCAGCCAAATCCACTCATAAATTATAGTTAGGATTGAGAGGAACTCCAAGGAAAGAAGCATTTCTGTACCTGTCTGCCAGCATACCGCAGTGCAAGCTTCCCGCTCACCAGCGCCTGCACATCCTCAGGCCTGCGGAGAGAACACAAAGCAAGAAACGTTGATTCAACACGGCCATGAAAGCAACCTATCCAGTGGCACTCCCTACATAACCCATCCCCACCCCCACCAGCTCTGCATTCTGGGCCGGTCTTAAGAGTTAATCGAAGGACTCTTTTACAAACGTCGGACATCGTGCAAGACTGCATAAATCCAAAGCACAGGAGGAGGAAAGCTGCTGGATGAACCCCTGTACATAAAAAGCACACGGCGTTCTACAGGGTAACCAGTAACGGATCCCTGTCCTGAGAAGCTGACGAAGTGAGCTGTAAGAAAGACAAAGGAAGGAGAAAAGACCGGGAGGTGGGGTGGAGGTTAACTGTTACCGGTGCTTAGACTTAGCTTCAGCAAGAAATAATTGGGTTTAGGCTGTGCCAAAATCTCATCAGAAAAGGGTTTGGAGAGGGATTTGAAGAATGCGAGACAGCTGGCATGACTCAAGAGTTGTGGAAGCCAGTCCCAGGCATAAGAGGCAGCAAGGGAAAAAACAGTGGTATGGTTTAAGGCATGGTGACTGCCATGATCTGGGCTGTGCCACCAGAGGCCTACTAGGCCCAGGGAGCCTGACTAGCGGTAGGTGAGGCTGGGCCTAAAACTCCCAGAAGCCCCTGAGAGGCTTTGGAGCCAAAATGGACCAATAGGAAAAGAGGAGGACTTGGAATAAAAGATCTGGAGCAGCAGCAAAAGCTGTTCTTCTTCCCAGGAGACAGAAGGGACTGAGGCTGCTGCAGGGAAGAGACCCTCATCCTGAGGGAAGGGTGAGTAGTCTAAGGCCACTGCAGATAGTGAGCTAGGGACAGTATATTTAGACGCGTTAGGGCATTTGATTTCTTTTCTTTTCACCCACTTGCTGTTATTCTGCACCTTGTTGTTCGACCTCCTATAAAATAAACCTTTTCCTTGTTGCTTACTATGCCTGGTCCTCACGCCTGTTATTCGGCCAAAAGGGAGGTCTGAAGGTCTTGGGAGGGTGCTCTGGGCCTTCTCAAGGGATCCGAAATCCAGAGTGGTGGCAGCGTCAGGTGACACCCCACCTGATCCGTGACAGTGACTCACAAGCCCACATTGATTTGGCATGGTGACCCTCCAAGGCTGGCCCAATTTTTTCTCCATCCTAGGCCGACTGTTCCCTTGGCATCCATCTGGTTTAGCATCCCATTTTCTACAGTGGCCAGCCAGATGGCTTTTTTGAGAAACCAACAACCACTGCACAAAGGCTGCAGCTGCTCCTACTATGAACCCCAAGCAAGGGGCATTCCGACATGCTCAGCCTTTGCATGTGGAGGTTACCCTCCAGCCTCTGACCAGTCTCTCCCTTCTCCGGTCCTCCCTCTAATCCTGCCGAGGATTCTAAGAAAACTCACTCTAGTAGAAGAAGAAGAAGAGATTGGATTTATACCCCGCCCTTCACTACCCAAAGGTGTCTCAGAGCGGCTTACAAACTCCTTTCCCTCCCCCTCCCCACAACAGACACCCTGTGAGGTAGGTGGGGCTGAGAGAACTCTGACACAAACTGCTCTTTCAGGAACAGCTGTGCCAAAGCTTGTGACTGACCCAAGGTCACATCAGCAAGTGCAAAGTGGAGGAGCGGGGAATCAAACCCGGTTCTCCCAGATTAGAGTCCGCACACTTAACCACGACACCAAACTGGCTCTCGTAACCAACAGGACAGGTTTTACTCCATCAACATGTATATTCAGTGATGAAAAAATACCCACTGATGTATGACAGGGAAGATGCTGTTTCCACGGTCAGATCCTGGTTTCCAAAATCCAAAGCAACGGGAAGGGAAGGGGCGGCCACTTTGGGGGGGCTTCAGGACTCACAGTTTGGGAAGCACGGGTTTAAGGAGCAGGAGACCTTTGGGGTGGCTGAAGGCCACGAAGCTGGATGGAAGAAGTCATAAGCTGAGGAGCCTTGGGACACAAGAAGGGAGAGGAGCACGACCGCAGAAGGCTTTGAAAGCAAGAACAGGGAGTCTGGGCAGGAACTGGGCTCAGCCAGGAAGCAGGGCGGGGATGGAATGGAGTATGTAGTGTGGCCAGAGAGCAAGGCTCCCTCTAAGCTGTGGAGTCTTGTGAGCAAAAATTCTACTTGGTGAGCGACTGGCATTAAAGTTGTGAGCGAGCGATGATTTGGCTCCTGCACAAATTAGTTTGCCCTGGAGCCCCATCCTTCCTGAGCGGAGACGAAAATGTGTGAGCCGGAGGCTTAAAAAAACTGTGAGGTGGCTCACACTGACTCAGCTGAGAGGGAACACTGCCAGAGAGTCGAGAGAAAGGAATGATTCTGACTGCAACGCAGCAGTGGAAGGCCAGAGGAGTTGCAGCTTGCAGTGATTTATGGGGGAAAGAACCAAGGCTTTTCACTGGAAGGGTCCAATTTTAGCAATGTTGAAATGACACAACTTGGGCGACAGATTTGTTTTACTTATTTGCTGCATTTCTGCCCTGCTAAAGTGTTTCCCATCCAGGCATGGAGGAGACACAAATCACCTTCACTTCAGAAAGGCAGCGGTATCATGTATCTTCAGACTGTACCCGCGGCCCATGAAAACCAAACAAGTCAAAGACAGAAGTCAAAACAAAACTCTGTACCTGCTCTACAAGGTGGATGGGGGCTTTTGCCCATGGACGTGGAAAGGAAGGCAGCCTCAGACATACTGAGTTTTAGACGGCAGCCCAGGGAGAGTATCAAAGAGGCAAAATGAAGTTGCAGAATTGGATGGAGGGGAAAGTTCAGGGGTAGAGCGACCAAGCTAAGCGTCATGTGTGCACTGGTGGTAATGCAAGCCATAGGATGTCAAGAGGTTCACCAGAGACAGCCTGCGGAGACGGTACAGAAGAAGGCCACGGATGGATCACGGAAGGACCCCAGAACAGGAGTTGCTCCCATGGAAGCATTTAACTGAAGAGAAGACGAGGAAGAGATTGGATTCATACCCTGCCCTTCACTACCCAAAGGAGTCTCAGAGTGGCTGACAAACCCCTTTCCCTTTCCCTCCCCACAACAGACACCCTGTGAGGTGGGTGGGGCTGAGAGAGCTCTTGACAGAAACGGCTCTTTCAAGGACAGCTCTTATCAGAGCTACGGCTTGCCCAAGGTCATCCAGCCAGGTGCAAGCGGAGGAGTGGGGAATCAAACCCGGTTCTCCCAGATGAGAGTCCGCACACTCAACCGCTACGCCAGCCAGGAATAGCTAGGAAGAGAACTGGTGCAGGGCCAAAGCACAGAAGCCTAGGGAGCGGGAGGAGTCAGACAGAAGAGAGCCATCCGCTGTACGGAAGGCAGCACAGAGAAGGGACCGGAGGAGTCCTTTGGAGTGCACAGTGAGGGCGGTGGCATTCTGGAGAAGGCAGATTTCAAAAAGAGGGAGGAAGGAGAGGCAGCAGCAGCCGGCAACGTCCTTTAAGGGATTAGAGGCAAAGAGCAGAAGCGAAATCAGGGGGGCTGCTAGAAAGGGAGGTTAAGGGATTCTTTCCTTTTTTAAGAAAGGGGAAATGGTGGTGGATTTGAATACAGTACAGAATAGACGGGCTGACATACACAGCAGAGAGAAGGGAGAGTGGTAAGGAAATGGCAGCCAGGTGGGGACAGGATCAAGAAGAAGAAGAAGAAGAAGAAATTGGACGTATGCCCCACCCTTCACTACCTGAGAGAGTCTCAGAGCAGCTTACAAACTCCTTTCCATTCCCCTCCCCGCAACAGACACCCTGTAAGGTAGGTAAGGCTGAGAGAGCTCTGGGAGAACTGCTCTTTCAAGGACAGCTCTTATCAGAACTATGGCTCGCCCAAGGTCATCCAGCAGGTGCAAGTAGAGGAGTGGGGAATCAAACCCGGCTCTCCCAGATGAGAGTCCGCACACTTAACCACTACACCAAACTGGCTCTCAAGAGGGCAAGTGGAATGATCTCTTGGGAGATGTGGATGGTGCAAAACAAAACCTACATGTGCTGTCATTCTTGCGTACGCAACTGCCGCTGACAGATCCCACCAAGAGAAACTGCTCCTGCCCATGCAATGAGTTTCAAGGGTTGAAGGCTAACTGGGGAGAGATTTCTACAGCTTCTCTTTCCTTGTCCCTGGGGAAGGAAGACGGGAAACAGTTTCCCGCTCTCTCTCAGCGGAAGCTAAAGGATCTGCACCTTCTTCCTTTGGCCTTCCTGGAAGAGGTCCACGCTGCAGCATGTTTAGAAATGTGCTCACAGAGAAGGCAGGAAGCATGGAATCCGGAAGATTCTTCCCCCTCCTGGGGATGCGCTTCCTGTTACATGAAGGGAAGCCTGGGGACTAGCCCTCCACGACACAGAAGAGAGTTCACGACAGCGGCTTGGGAGGTCCCCTTCTTGTAATAGTAAAATTCTACATGAGGAGATCTGGATTAGTCAGAAGGAGAGGCAAGTATTCTGCCTCCTCCTTGACACTATGACCCTTCCCCTTCCTGACGTAAGTCAACACCCCCAAATCGCACACCTTACGGACTCTCAGAATACAGCGGGTGTCCTGACTGCAGAGCATTCTGCACTGTAACGGGGAGGGCGAGGGGGAAACAGAGGGGTGGGGGCTGCGCCCTGGGGCATTGCTCCCGCGGCATCGTCGGCCACGTACAAGTTCAGCATGATCTTGCAGAGCAGCATGTACTTCAACGCCGTGATGGCCTTGGGGCTGTCGATGGAGTCGTAGCCCTCGAACGCCTCGTAGAAATAGGAGTACGCCGTCTTCCAGTCTTTCTCTTCTGCCGCGTGGATGATGCCTGTTGGAAACGGGAGGCAGACAAAGAAGAGGTCTGGAGTTAGACGATCACAGACCCACCCGTGGAACAGCGGAAGGGGAGGCGTGGCCACCGAGTCCCACTCCTTCGCCTGCACGTGCAAGGGACCGGGGGGGGGCGGGGGGAGGAGGGCAGAGTCTTGAATAGAGATGTAAAATTTCCAGAAATTTTGAAGCTCGGGAAAAAACCCGTTTTTATTATCACAACTAGTCTATTAAAAATATAGTGTATCCAAACAGTTATTTCAAACAGAATACACACCCACAGGCAAAAACAAAACTGAACCCTTTTTCTTTTCTTGTGACAACAGCACCTCCTAAAGGAAGAAATGCATCTTGTTCTTGCATTGGAGAGTTCAGTTTGTAACCTAGGACTTGCTTGCTTGTCCTCAGTGCACGGAAATTAGATCAATCTGATACCATATATATATATATAAGAAATGATTTGGAAAATATTTGAACACCTTGTCTTAAAATATTTTATTCATCATGTTAAAATAAAACGTTCCATAATCCTTTTTTTTTCATTTCTTTTTTCAATTTTTCGGAAAAAAACAAAAAATGATCACATTCTTCTTTTTCACAAAGGAAACCAGCTGTCTGAGAGAAGTGGCTGTCAGCTTAGACCCTCGGGTTCTGCACGACGGAAGGTCAACTGCCATCAGATTCCATATCCAGGACTTTGCTCTCATACTTGAATTTCCACTGAAAACTGTTGTAGAGGCAGACTGCGGGGGTGGGGTGGGGGGCGTCAGGAAAGCCAAGCACAAGGATGGCCACAGATGCTGTGCAAGGAAGTGCCGTTTCAGAGTCATCCTGTACAACAGTGTTGTCGAGACAAGACAGACCGCAGTCCAAGGTTTCTCCAGTCATTCTGCCCAGTGCAACTCTTATACCGTAGTAATCCATCAGCGTTTGGCCAGTTTTTCCAGCTCTGGTGAGAACTGCTTTCATCTTGCATGATGGAGTCCGAACAGCAACTAAGTATCATTTCTGGATTTTAGCACAGAATCCAGTGCGATGGAAAAGCCTCAACAGATCAGACATCTGATGCATAACAGCGTACCCAGCCTCTACAGCATCTCTGAGAAGCATCTTCCAAAAGCCCCTTAGGAAGAATACCCTCGTTTCCTTGCGGCCGGTCATTCCGATGCTATAATACTGTTTGTCGATTCAGGTGGGTAGCCATTTTTGCCTGAAGCAATAGAACCAAGTTTGAGTCTAGTGGCACCTTTAAGACCAACAAAGTTTAATTCTTGGTATAAGTTTTCCTATGCATGCACAGATACCTGACGAAGTGTGCGTACACTTTGTTGGTCTTAAAGGTGCCACTAGGCTCAAATTTTGTTCTGATACTGTTTGTCATTTTGGTTCTAAAATCGCTGCTGCTTATCCCACAAGGCTAAGCAAGCATGGAAGCAACATCTCCTGATTTTCTGACAACGGATCGCCATGACATCTATCATACCAAGAGGCATCAGCCAAACAGAAAAATGAACTTACAGATGGACACCAGGGCTATTTTTGGGCAGGAACGCACAGGAACGGAGTTCCGGCTGGCTCCCGAGGTGGTCACGCCCAGCAGGAACTCATTAGCATAATAGGCCACACCCAATAGCAGAAACTCATTAGGATTGGCTACGTTAGGGGTGTGTGGCCTAACATGCAAAGGAGTTCCTGCTACAAAAAAAGGCCCTGGGTTTTGACAACAAACAAGGTAAGCAGAATAAGAAGGGAAAGGTGGGTGTGGCTGGATGACCACACTTCTGGTAACATGGGGGTGTGGCCTAATGTGCTAATGAGTGGTGCTGTCAGGGTGTGGCCTAATGTGCTAATGAGTTTCTGCTCTTGGGTGTGGCCTATTATACTAATGAGTTCCTGCTGTGCTTTTTCTACAAAAAGAGCCCTGGACAACTGTGGCCCGTCAGCAGCACCACCTACCTGACTGCATATCCAGGGCTGCCTGCAGCTTGGGCGGGCAATATATCGCATTGGCGGTGGTTCGGGCAGAGGTTAACGCTGCTCTGGCTTTTGGCAGGTTGCTCAAGGCGTGGTAGGTCTTGCTCTCCAGCAGCTGGACTTCCACTAAGAGAGCCTTGTCATCCATCTTCTTCAACTCCCGCAAAAGCTGTGAGCCTGGAAAAAGCAATACACGAGAGCCAGCCGCCTGAGAAACCGTTTCACTCAAGGCCAGCGGCTTCTCTTGCGCTGGACTCTTAAATGCTTCTTCCTGATCCCGGTCACGAAATAACAACAAAAATGCATTTACGGCATAGAGAGCTAGCGGGGCATATTGGCTAGAGGGCCCACTTCTAATGGGAGGGAAAGCTAGATCCGAAACCTGCAATTCAGCCACAAAATTCACTGGGTGACCTTGGGCAAGTCCGTTCTCTCTCAAGACTGCCAGGAGGCTGGAACACTGCCCCCGAGAGCCTTGGGAAGAACATCAGGGTACATACGAAATACATGAGAGCTCTCATCACTAAGGAGAGACACCTTCCTGTCTCTCCACAAACAGGGTGGCAGGTGCTGCCCTCCTAAACAGGATACTGCACACGGGCCTGATTGACTTCATTCAGCCACTGTAGAAATATCAATATAATCCCATTCTGATTTCATGAAGACTCTAGCCTAGACTGGTAACGCCTTTCATTATTATGAGACTGGGGATAGGCTGGAAGTCAGCCGGCACACAAGGGTCTGTGTGCATGCCTACCTTTCCTTCCAAGCACCTGGCAAACCTAGAATGGATACAGACCACTGTGTTGACACTGGCACAGACGTCACCACCAGTTTCCTCTGCCCTGGGCAGCTGACTGTGCAGACTGAAGCGGGGCACTTGGAGCAATACAGTTCTGCTCTGTGGTACTCGGTGGCCCCTTCACACATGCAGGCTACTGCGACGTCACAATCGTGCAGTGACCATGGCTTGTGTGAAACACAGCTAGGGCAACAGGAAGCAGTTTCTTATTCTTTCCAACCTTAATAGAAGAAACTGCAAAAACCAAGTTGCGCTCTGTTTAGAGAGGTCACGGCCTGGAAACCCACCGTCCCGAATACTTTCCCCAATTTTTCCAAGACGGGAAAATCTGGGCGAGCGCTAAAATATTCCCGTGAGGTATTTTTCTCTTTTGGAGCAACTGAAATTATTTTTTATTCACTCAAAATGTGTAATGAAGAAAAACATCTGGGGGATACCACCTAAAGCAAAAGAGGATGTTAATTCCAGCTGGACGTCATCTTACCTAACTGCAACGCCTCCTGGTACCTTTTAGTGTCAAAGTACAAGGACACCAGCCTTGCCTAGAAAAGGGAAAGTTTTTTTTTTAAAAAAATGAATTTTAATTAAAACTGCAAACACATGCACCCTGCTCGTTCCAGCCCAGGCTAGCCCAATCTCAGCAGATCACGGAAGCTGATTACTACTTAGATGGGAGAACACCTAGGAAGTCCAGGGTTGCTACACAAGAGGAAGACCGTGGCAAAGCACCTCTGCTCGTCCCTTGCCTTGAAAACCCTATGCATTCACCAGAAGTCGGCTGTGACTTGATTGCCCTTGACGCATATACAAATACATTTTAGGAACCAATCTCACAGTGAACACTACACGAGGCAAGGAACAGGCAAGACCCCCTTTGCTGGGAAGGGTTAACAAGGAGAGGGGGGGGGGAAAGACGGCAGTTAGCCAACTGTAAACATGATACGCAGGTAAGGCTTTGCAGAAAAAACTACAGTGAGTTTCAATGGGAAGACTGAACAAGAGGGAAATGGATTCTAAAGAGATGAGAGTGATGGACCAAAGACACAGAGTGTGCTAACTGCTGAGCACCTTGCCTGTGGCCAAGAAAGCAAGACGCAGAAGTCAAGAGTCCCTCCCCTACAGTTTCCCACACCAAGGGTCCCAAGACCTTCTCCTGACACGCCATGGTCAATGCTCCCCTCTAAGCTGTGGAGTCTTGTGAGCAAAAAAACCTACTTTGTGAGCTGCTGGCATTAAAGTGGTGAGCGGGCGATTTGGCTCCTGCATAGATTGGTTTGCTACGGAGCCCTCCTTCCTGAGCTAAGGCAAAAATCTGTGAGCCGGAGGCTAAGAAAAACCTGTGAGCTAGCTCACACTAACTCAGCTTAGAGGGAACACTGACCCGTGTAGCAGCAAAAATCTCTGCTGGAGGAGGCGGAGCCAGCCACAAAAAGATTGCCACCGCTTACCTTCAGTCGTAGAGTGCCGATCCTTGTGCTGTGGTGGCAGCTACCGCCAAAGCAACGTTTTAAAGAAATCTGCACAGCTAATCAAATCTTCAGTAGCCAATCAGAAGCCTTGCTGGGCAAACGACGTACCCAGCTTCACCCACTTCTCAAAAACACTCGGCAGGCAACAGAAAAGTGGTGGTAGGGGGCACCGTGCCCATGGGCGCCAGGTTGGGGACTCCTGCCCTACGCCGAATAACTGACCCGCTGACAGGCAAGAAGGTTTTGTTACTATCACATAAAGGCTGTGCCAGTCAGGATTTCTCTTGGTTTTGGTCACCAGCACACAAGTAGAGGGACTGCCCACCTAAAACATCCGCAGAATACAGAAAGGGCTGGTGCATTTTAAAGCCACGAGGACCCAAAGTAATGCTTTAAGGCTGCGTCTGCAATAATCGGGAGGGTGTCCTAAACCCAAACAGAGGCCAGCAGTGTGGACACAGCAAGCCACCTGACAGCGCCACAGATTTCCACATCCAGGTAAAGAGAGGCTAGCTTAATGGCATGAGAGGCCAGATGACTTAAAAATATACCTCCAGAGCTTGGCGCAGGAACGTCCTCTTCTCTGATTTGGCCCATTCAATACACTCAAGACACAAGTCAACCTTAGAAAAAGAAAACACGGTCATCCTTCCTTCTAGGTCTGCTGCCCCCGCCTCCCAAATATCATCCTCCGTGTGAACTTTTGACTGTTTCCGTCTGAACACGGCCCATGGGAAGAGGACACTTGAGCATCACCGCAAGCCGCCTGCTGCGCTTTGGAAACGGCAGGTCTGTGCCCAAACACCAGCGGTCTCACCTCTTGTCCCGTGGCTGCTTCCATGTCTAGGAAGAGGTCCAGCAGGGACCGGACCAGGCGGGCTGCCTTCGCCTTGCTGATGGAGTTCAAGAAAGGACGCACGTACTTCAGGAGTCCTCCGAGCTCTGCATGAGAGACAAAGCAGTCAGCCAGTGTGGCTCAGGGGCTGGGGAGAGGCAACAGAAGATGCAACAGGAAGCCCCAGGGGACGTTTTGGAAATGGACACCCTCCCACCCCCCCGTGCACGAGGTGTATTTGAGCAGAGGGAGACTCTGCCAGGGAGCATGGCCTTTGGATGCAAGGTCCTGAGCCAGAATATCTAACAGCCATATAATTACAATACAATAACCACACACGGTGCTTTAAAATCCCAGGCTTACAGATAACCATTCATTTGATAAACTTGTGGCAAAAAAGAGTATTCGCCACACAAAAAAGGAGACCAAGTCCTCAGTATGGACCGTACAAAAGCAAGACACGATGAAATACAAAATGAAATATCTCATACAGAAAGATATTAGAACGTATAAAGGAGTGATAAGAATGAGCCAGTAGAATATATTAAACACACACCACCACCTCCCGATTTCCCAATCCTCCTGACTCCAGAAATTTATAAATGACATTGTGAAGAAGAGGAGGAAAAGGAGGTTGGATTTATCTTCACTACCCGAAGGAGGCTCAGAGCGGCTTACAATCCCTTCCCCTTCGCACAACAGACATCCTGTGAAGTAGGTGGGGCTGAGAGAGCTCTCTCGAGAACTGCCCTTGAGAGAACAGCTCTGAAAGAACTTATGACTGACCCAAGGTCACACCAGCAGCTGCATGCGGAGGAGTGGGGAATCAAACCTGGTTCTCCCAGGTTAGAGTCTGCACTCAACCACTACACCAAGCTGGCTGCATACAAGACCCTTGAAGTAAATGGGCTTAGAATGGCTCTGTAAGAGTGCTGGCAGAACCGAAGAATCTGGATACCTATGCACACAGTGATGCTTGGTGGGCCTCCTTACGCGGCAAATCTGCTAAATGCGGTGCCCAGAAGAGTTATAGTGATTTAGCCTTGTGCGTCTGGGATCTGTAGCCCTACCGTAATCACTCAGATCTCAGCAAGCAGCAATTATAAAGAAGAACTGCTAGGATCTGACCACTTAGGGCGTTTTAGGTCCCTATCTGTCAGGCTGCTCCAGAATTAAGGCAACAGCGTGATCTTTATGCCAAGCACTAAGCAACTGGTGGGCAGGTGCGTGCTCTAAGTAGTGTTCCAGGGCACACCCCCCACCGAACACTTTCCAGTAATGAGTCCCAAGTTTAGGCCTCGCGAGATTTATCTCTTCTGACTCTCCGCCATCAAATGATTAGGCTGGAGACATTGCACTGGCTGCCGATAGCATACCGGATTCGTCTCAAGGTGTCGGTTCTTACCTTTAAAGCCCTACATGGCCAGGGATCTACATACCTAAGGGACTGCCTTTCCCCATATGTTCCCCAGAAGCACTGCGGTTGGGGCTCCAGGATTGGCTGGCCCTCCCGGGTCCTAGGGACGCTAGGCTGTCAACAACCAGGGCCAGGGCCTTTTCGGTGGTGGCCCCAGCCTGGTGGAATGAGCTCCTGGAGGAGATCAGGGCCCTGCAGGATCTTTTGCAGTTCCGCAGGGCCTGTAAAACGGAGCCCTTCCGCCAGGCTTTTGGGAGCCGCCGCCACCAATGAAGAACATCAGTTGGTTAAAAGGGAGAAGGCCCTGGACCCTGAAAACTGCCATCAACAGCCTTAAAGAACAGCGAACCCTGCAGGGACATCCAACTAACACAGAGAGCTGACTGCGAGAGGAGAACGTTCTACACTGGCCGATACCGCTATATGACTACTAAGAACCACTAGCACTTTATTATGATTTTATATTTGTTTTAACTACAACTATGTTTCAATGTAATTATCTGGTTTTATGTGAGCCGCCCTGAGCCAGCTTTGGCCGGGAGGGCGGGGTAAAAATCTAAAAAAATAAAAACATAAAACCTAAAGCATTCCGTGTAACAAATTTATGCCTTCCATCATGTGTAATTCCGTATTTAAGGAGTCTTGAAAACAGGGAATGCAGCGATGCCAAATAATGTCTCTTGTACAGCTGTGAATGCAGGACGACCACTACAGTCCTCCTACCGAGGAGAATGGGATTTGAACTAGGTGTTTTTGGCCCAGAACAAGGGCCAATATTCGCAGCTGGGAACCAGCATCACAGCAAAGTTTCACACTCCGACGTTTCGCTTGAGGCACTGCTGAGAGATGCATTTACCCTGTTCTGAACTTACCTTCGGCTTGTCCGGTCTTGGCGAGGAGACTGCCGAGCTCCAGGATGCTTTGCTCTTTGACTTGCACTGCCTCTTCGTCATTCTCCTGGACATCACGCTTCACTACGAGGACAAAGCATTTAAGAACATAAGAACCTAAGAGATGCCAATGTTGGATCAGGCCAAAGGCCCATCCAGTCCAACACTCTGTGTCACACAGTGGCCAGAAATACCAAGTGCCATCAGGAGGTCCACCAGTGGAGCCAGGACATTAGAAGCCATCCCACTGTTGACCCCCCCAAGCACCAAGATGACAGAGCATCACTTGCCCCAGAGTTCCTCTCTATACCTTGTGGCTAATAGCCACTGATGGACCTCTGCTCCATATGCTTATCTAATTCCCTTTTGAAGCCGTCCATGCTTGTAGCCGCCACCACTTCCTGTGGCAGTGAATTCCATGTGTTAATCCCTCTTTGGGTGAAGAAGGACTTCCTTTTATCTGTTCTAACCCGACCGCTAAGCAATTTCATGGAGTGCCCACGAGTTCTTGTATTGTGAGAAAGGGAGAAAAGTACCTCTTTCTCTACCTGCTCTTTCCCATGCATAATCTTATAAACCTCAATCATGTCACCCCTCAGTCGTCGTTACCAGAGAAGTAAGAACTGGACGGAGTTTTGACTAAAGAGAAGCAGCATCCATCAAGTCAAGGACTGCTCACGCCTTGCCCTATTCTTTCTTTCAAAAATTAATCTGCTTCTTGAGGGTCAGTGGCAATGTTGCCTCTAAGCTGTGGAGTCATGTGGGCAAAAATTCTACTTTGTGAGCTACTGGCATTAAAGTTGTGAGCGAGCAGTTTGGCTACTGCATAAATAAGTCTGCTCTGGAGCCATCCTTCCTGAGCAAAGACAAAAATGTGTGAGCTGGAGGCTAAAAAACTGTGAGCTAGCTCACACTAACTCAGCTAAGAGGGAACATTGGCAGTGGCACCTCTGGGAGACAGCATTCAGCAGAGAAGGCAGCATGACAGATGAAATTAGGATCTGGGGACAAGGAAGACTGGGACCCAGTTTCCAGGGGCAGCTCAGGAACAAACAATATTATGTTTACAAGCTGTTTTGTGTAATCCAGCCTGTTTGGCAGAACATTGTCACTGTGACTGGAAGTGAAATAAGTCTCCTTCACTCCTTAGCATGTCACTGGATACTGTAAATAAGGTACTACTGTCAGAGCTTCCCAATGCTAGGAAGAGCAGGCAGGTTGCCAGTTTTACAGTCTCTGCATGAAAGGACAGGCAAAACCCCACCAAGATTGCACATCGACTACGCAGACCGCCTTTCGAGCATAAAAGACTGACTTCAGCAGCACCAAGAGTCACCTTTGCACACTCAGTTATCACAAAGTCACAGTTCATCACTACAACCTCTAATTCTGTTTATATATCCCATCAGGGAACAGAAGCCACCAGTTCTGGCAAGATGAATGGTTCTCAGTCCACCTGCCCTTATAAGCGATCAAAGAAACAACAGCCCCTATGATGGATCACACCAGGCCATAGAGAAATATAGCTATTTACGAGCCATCTACCATAGTCTTACTAACACAATGGTTTGAGGCGGTGCAATCAAGTGTTTCACACAACACAGGGAGTGAGCCATGTCAGCTAAGAGAGCACCTGTCTTTCTGCGTAAAATGGGCTCATTTCAGACTCTGCTAATCTAGCCTGTTGGGAAATGCATGATCATTGCTTCGGCAGATCAACGGCACCCCCGTGCCCCCTGCTCCTGTCACAGAAAATCTCGTTAGATGTTACAGGATCCTCTTGCGTGGAGCCCTTTCCAGCATACTCCCCCTGCTGTCAAAGTCAGCAGAGGGCCAGTGTGGTCCAGTGGTTAGAGTGCTGGATTAGGGTCTGGGATACCCAGGTTCCAATTCCCCCCCCCATTCTGCCACAAACACTTATCGGGTGACCGGGGGGGGGGGGGGGCACTGCCAACACTCTCAGCCTAACCTGCCTCACAGAGTTGTTGGGAGGATAAAATGGAGGAGGGAAGGACGATGTAAGAGAGCTGCCTTGGGTTCCCATTGGGGGCAAAAGCAGAGTACAAGCAGAGTATAAAATAAATAAATGCGTTATGCAGGCAAAGGAGCTATAAAGCAGGAGATGCTCTCAAGCTAGTTTACTCTGCGAAGGGAGGAAGGAAAAAAGATACTTTGCCCCATTTAACATGGCATATGGAGACGTGCATCTAAATCCAGAACGAAAAGAACAAGGGGATGTAAAAAATGGGGGAGGGGGAAAGACTGGCAAAGGGCCGTCCAAACAGGGGAGGCCTTCAAGCCCCTGGCTGTGACACCAGAGTAACTCTAGAGGATCTTCTTCCTGTTTTAAAAAGAAAACACTTTTTTTTAAGCCCTTCGAACATCTCAAGCTTTATATATGACCCAAACCCCTTCCAACAGTAGCTACTCTTATTCCTCTGGTGACATTTCTGATTCAGCCATATGTTAACAACGGTGGAGTATGCGGGCCCATCTCAGCAGCCATCAGCAAATTTGAATCTTAACTTTTTTTAATGACAGCACCCATCGGGCACACGCCCTGAGCTGCCAGAATGGACGCATGGGCACAACTGAGCTCAGAGAGACCTGCCCCAACAAGCTGGCATTACACACCTGCAGCACACAGCTCAGAGATATTTTGTTAACAGCTTCCCCATCATTCACACAGCTCCCCCACCATCATTTCCATCTCACAACAGTCATCCCTCTATCTTCCAAGCCCACCACAAGCCACCTCCACGCTCCTTTCAAAACCCCTTGATCCTATAGAATACTCTCTCCTCCTCTCCCCTCCCTTTGGGGGGGGGGTGAGAGAGGTTTGCTCACCGACCGGAAAAGTGCTTGGCTTGAAACTGTGAAGCCTCATTGCCAGCAATCAGCAATTTAAGTTTAAAGGACACTGAAATAGCTTATTACCAGTCTCTACCTGAACATAAAACTGCAATTAAAAGAACAAAAGGGAGCAGCAAAGATCTGGCAACGAGGGAAGCTAGCAGAACAGCCAGCCGCCAGCCTAAGAAACTACAGGATACTTGTGTGGCCTGCCAGGTCGGGGGAGTAGACTAGATCAACACGGTGGTGGTAAGCAAGCCTCGAATTCCTCCATGCACACCACCATCCCAGCGTTTGTTGGACCCAACAGCCTCCACCTTCTACAGAACAGGGCATCCATCCTATTAGGGGAAAAACCCAAACTTTTTAACCTTTCCTATTATGGGTAATTCAGTTTCAAAAAGAAAGATGACTACGACAGAAGATGATAGATGTTTATAAAAGGATTCAGGGGAGGGAGAAAGTGGATTTACAGACCTTTTGCTCCCTGTCGCATAACACTAGAACTCAGGGATACCCAATGAAGCGGAGAATTGATTCAGGATAAGCGACAAAATTGCAGAATTCACTGCTGGAGAATGTAGCAAGGAGCACAAACATAGACAACCCTAAAAGGGGGATCAGACACATTCAAGGAAGAGAGGTCCCTCAGTGGCTACCAGCCATGGTGATGAAAGGGGCAACCCTTGATACCCAGAGGCAGTCCACCTCTGAATGCTAGTGCCTAGGAGACAACATGACAGAGCAGTTCCTCAGTGGAACAGGCTTCCTTGGGAGGTGGTGGGCTCTCCTTCTTTGGAGGTTTTCAAACAGTAGGTGGGAGGCCATCCATCAGCAATGCTGATTCTGTGAACTTAGGCAAACCATGAGAAGGAGGGTAGGGAGGGTTGCCTCAGTGCTTCGTTCTCGTGGGCCTTTCTTACACACCCAAGGAAATGCCAATCGCCACTTTAGGGTCAGGAAGCAATTTTTCTCCAGGGCAGTTTGGCTGGGGATCCTAGAGGTTTTTTTGCCATCTTCTGAACATGGAGCAGGGGTCACTGGGTGTGTGTGTGGGGGGGAGGTATTTGTGAATTCCCTGCACTGCGGAGGGAGTTAGACTAGATGACTCTGGAGGACCCTTCCAGCTCTTATGATTCTATGTGGGAGGCTTTGGTCCCCATGCCCTGTTTAGAAACCTAAGAAGAGCCCTGCTGGATCAGACGAATGGTCCATCTAGCCCAGCATCCCGTCTCACCCAGGGGCCAACCAGTTCCTCCGGAGGGCCAACAACTGGGCAGAGAGACTGAGGCCTTCCCGATGTCGCCTCCCGGCCCTGGGATTCAGAGGTGTAGTGCCTCTGAACGTGGAGGGTCCCTTTAGTCATAACGGCCAGTGACCGTCCGCAGAAGCTTCCTCCACGACCCGACCAAGGCTCCCCCTAGGTAAGTAAAAAAATTCCACTTTGTGAGCTTTTTTGTTGTTCAGTCGCACAGTCGAGTCCGACTCTTCGCGACCCCATGGACCACATCATGCCAGGCCTTCCGATCTTCCGCCGTCCTCTGAAGTTGGCTCAACTTCATGTTTGTTGCATCGATGACACTGTCTAACCATCTCATCCTTTGCCATCCCCGTCTTCTTTGACCTTCCATCTTTCCCAGCATCAGGGTCTTCTTCTCCAGGGAGTGCTCCCTTCTCATTGGGTGGCCAAAGTCTTTGAGCTTCAGTTTCATTATCTGGCCTTCCAGGGAACAGTCAGGGTTGATTCCCTTTAGGAGTGACTGATTTGATCTCCTTGCAGTCCAAGGGACTCTCAAGAGTCTTCTCCAGCACCATAGTTCAAAAGAATCTATTCTTCGGCGCTCGGCCTTCCTTATAGTCCAACTTTGTGAGCTACTGATGTTAAAGGTTGTGAGCAGGTGATCTGGCTGCTGCATCCATCAGGTCGCTCTGGAGACCATCCCTTCCTGAGCGGAGGCGAAACCATGTGAGTGAGCCGGGAGAGGCTCACACCGACTCGGCTCAGGGGGAACATGGGACCCGACCTCATCCTCCTTTCCGAGGCGCCTGTTCCTGCGGCCATCCCCGCGTCCTCTGGCAGCGGGCCCCACCTTCCCCTCCCCCTCCCCGTGCAAAGCCGCGTGTTCCCTGCGTGGGCCGGGATGCCGGACTGGACGGGCCCTGGGTCTGACCCAGCCAGCGCTCTCCTGGGGTTCCCCATATGTTGTTCTTACTTCCATGAATCATCTTTCGTTCACGTTTAAACCCGAATTCAGTTCTACCTTTCCTCAGGACCGCACAGATCCCCCTGAAAAGGCCCGACTCTGGGTCACCTCGCCAGGAAAAGAAACGAGAGCGGAGGTGGTTTGGAAATCCTTAAGTTCCTGGAGGCAGCCGAATCTAACCCCGTTTACAGAAGCCAAGAGCCCCTTTCAAGGGGAAGCCGGGCCTCCCGAGGGCCCGCTCCCCCGTCCCCCGCCGGGCCCTGGGGGCGGCAGCCGCCCACCGTGAGTCAGCAGCGGGTCACTGGTTTCCCTGCATCTAATTAATTAGGGGGGAGTCGAGTCCCTAAATTTCTCCACTGGTTTCCCTGCATCTAATTAATTAGGGGGGAGTCGAGTCCCTAAATTTCTCCACTGGTTTCCCTGCATCTAATTAATTAGGGGGGAGTCGAGTCCCTAAATTTCTCCACTGGTTTCCCTGCATCTAATTAATTAGGGGGGAGTCGAGTCCCTAAATTTCTCCACTGGTTTCCCTGCATCTAATTAATTAGGGGGGAGTCGAGTCCCTAAATTTCTCCACTGGTTTCCCTGCATCTAATTAATTAGGGGGGAGTCGAGTCCCTAAATTTCTCCACTGGTTTCCCTGCATCTAATTAATTAGGGGGGAGTCGAGTCCCTAAATTTCTCCACTGGTTTCCCTGCATCTAATTAATTAGGGGGGAGTCGAGTCCCTAAATTTCTCCACTGGTTTCCCTGCATCTAATTAATTAGGGGGGAGTCGAGTCCCTAAATTTCTCCACTGGTTTCCCTGCATCTAATTAATTAGGGGGGAGTCGAGTCCCTAAATTTCTCCACTGGTTTCCCTGCATCTAATTAATTAGGGGGGAGTCGAGTCCCTAAATTTCTCCACTGGTTTCCCTGCATCTAATTAATTAGGGGGGAGTCGAATCCCTAAATTTCTCCACTGGTTTCCCTGCATCTAATTAATTAGGGGGGAGTCGAGTCCCTAAATTTCTCCACTGGTTTCCCTGCATCCAATTAATTAGGGAGGGGGGGAGGAGTCCAGTCCCTAAATTTCTCCACTGGTTTCCCTGCATCCAATTAATTAGGGCAGAACGTGCTTATCGAGAGGCAAGGGAATGTCCTGCCGGGGCTCGATCCCGGAGGCTCAGGACCTCTGGGCTGGTGACATTTCTGGAGATCTGGGGATGGAAGCTGGGGAGGGAGTTCAG